CAAATAGTACAAGAGAAGATGCTAAACCTGCATAAGGAAATACCACTTCTACAAAGGGGAGCAAGTAAGGCAAGTGAAAATGATGCATTGAAGCATGTGGAGACAAGCTACGACTGCATATGCTGAGCTATCCTCTAACCCTCTTCAATACGAATTGGAGAGATTGAACAAAGAAACAGAAAAAAAGGAGTAAGCTCAGACCTTCGGGGAAGACCAAAAGAATCCTGCTGCCCAGTTCAAGAGTAGCACAAAGGAAAATCAACGATAGGGGGAGACCAAAAGAATCCTCCAGCCCTGTTCAAGATCAAGCCTCGATGGCCCTTGAAGAAATCACAAGTCCGATTCAAAATCAAGTGTTCACCACCCTTGAATCAAATTCAACTCCAGATCAAAGGAGTAAGTTCAGACCTTCGGAGGAGACCAAAAGAATCCTTCAGCTCAGTTCAAGATTAAGCCTGCGGAAAATCAACGATTGGAGGAAACCAGAAAATCTTCCAGTCTAACTTAAGATCAAGCCTCGATGGCCCTTGAAGAAATCTCCAGCTCAATTCAAGATCAAGCCTCGACGGCCCTTGGGTTGACATCTACATTAAGGGACTTCAAAACGCATCTTCTACACGTGACAAGCACATGTCTACGACACGCCTTGAAGTGGGGGCATTTGTAGACATCAAAATTTCGGTGAAATAAATGTTGACCAAAAATTAAAATTTCAACGCTCACGTATCACATAAATTTTACATGTAGCGTGTGACTCAACGAAAAATCGAAATAAATTGGAAAAGTCATCAAATAGGACACGTGTCAATACCTGGCAGAAATGATTTATTTCATCTGATTATTTAAATCCAAAAATCAAGTTTTGGAATTCTATAAATAGGAGGCCAAGGCATTCATTTTGGGGGAAGGAAAAGAAAAAAAGAAGGAAGGAAGAAAGAAAGAAGCCTTGAAACTCTAAAGCTCTCAAGCAAATCCCGAAGGATCAAGAAAGCAATCTTCGTTCTTCGTCAAATCCAACCAATTCAAGATCAAGCCCCAACGGCCCTTGAAGAACTTCCACCAACTCAAGATCAAACCCCGACGGCCCTTGAAGAAAGTGTTCATCGTTCATCATCCGTTCATCCTAAGATCAAGCCCCAACGGCCCCTTTGGATCAACAACCTCAACAAATCCACACATCCAATCGTTCTTCAAGATTAAGCCCAGAAGCCCTTGAAGATCCGCTCATCCATCAACCTTCAAGATCAAGCCCCGACGGCCCTTGAAGAACTCCAACCAATTCAAGATCAAGCCCCAACGGCCCTTGAAGAACTTCCACCAACTCAAGATCAAGCCCCGACGGCCCCTTGAAGAAAGTGTTCATCGTTCATCATCCATCCTCCTTCAAGATCAAGCCCCAACGGCCCTTGAAGAACTCCCACCAACTCAAGATCAAGCCCCAACGCCCCTTGAAGATCCATTCATCAACTGTGCATCCTTAGATCAAGCCCCGACGGCCCTTTGGATCAACAACTCATCCACAAACCCACATCGTACGAAGATAGAATCAGAGGATCAAATTACAAAGAGATTGTAACCCCAAAATCATTAATACAAAATATTATTTTGTACACGTATTCTCGTCGCTTGTTTCAGGAATTTCTCGTGTTTACACGTATCTTCCCAAAGTATTGTAACGGCTACATTTGGATCTTTGACCCATATGATCACATGGCCTCCAGTCCTATGACCCGATTCGTTAACGGGCTCTTAATAGACGATCTGATTCGTTAACGGGCTCTTAATAGATGACACATAACAACCCAATTTGTTAACGAACTCTTAATAGATAACCTGATTCGTTAACGAGTTGATCAAAAACCTGTTATTTTTGTGTCATTTCATGTTAGATTAATAGTCAGATGCAAGAAATTAACAAAATGCATAATTGAGAGTGAGACCCACTCCTCCATGTTATTATATTGACAATATGTTCCCTAACCTGACCAAAATCCACCTTGAAATTCCATAGCATTGAAACATGATGCCCCCAGCTCCCTAATACGCTGTCGTTTTGAGATTCCCCCACCCCGAAAGGTCCCTCATAACCATTGCAAACCCTCTCTCAGTACCCACGCGCCCATTCTCCAACCGTTTAAACCCCACTCCCTCTCCCTCTCTCTCTCTACATGTTCTCAGTCAAAATCTCCTAGTCCTCTGCTTTGGCAAAGAAAATCGAAAACCCATTTGTTTCCATCCATCAGAACTCGATTTCTGGGTCGACGTCTTCTTCCTCATAACTCTCTTCCTCCGCCGTGGATCGGCCGAGAACGTCAACTTCTACTTCCCATCTTTGAACTTCCGAAACCTTACCTTCCTCGCCGACTCCCACATCTGAAACGGTGTCGTGGGGCTCACCCGCGAGCTCACCGTCCCCTCCTCCAGCGCCGGTGCCGTCATCTACAACAACCCAATTCGGTTCTTCGACCCGGAGTCCAACATCACTGCTTCGTTCTCCACAAAGTTCGCTTTCTCCATCGCCAACGTCAATTCGAGCTCCTACGGCAACGGCATATCGTTTTTCCTCTCGCCGCACAACTGGACTCTGGGCAGCCCTGGTGGATATCTGGGTCTCGTCAATTCCTCGCAATTGACCAAGAACAAGTTCGTAGTCATCGAATTTGACACAAAGCTCGATCCGAACGACAATCACGTCTGATTGGACATTGAGAGCCTCAATTCGATCAAGACCGCTGATCCGATTTCACAGGGTATCGATTTCAAGGGCGGGAATTTGATTACTGCTTGGATTGATTACAATAACGACCAAGAAAAGCTTAAAGTGTATCTGAGCTACTCGAATTTCAAGCCTGAAAAGCCGGTTTTGAGCTTGGACGTCGATCTCTCCAAGCATCTGAACGAGGTTATGTTCGTGGGTTTTTCAGCCTCGACGGAGGGGAGCATGGAGATTCATCTGGTTGAGAATTGGAGTTTCATACCTTCGGGTTGTTGCGAAAATGCCGAGGTTGCAGCCACACAATGTGTCTGATACTTATGTGGCGGTGAGTCCGAGCATTCCCGTGTCCGGTTCAGGGGATAATCATCACCGACAGCTCGGTTTGGGACTCGGGATTGCTGGGCCAGTGTTCTTTTGCGTGGCGCTGGTGGTTTTCGGTTATGTTTCCGTGATGAAATGGATGGAGGTGAGAAAACAGAAGAGCTTCAAAGCAAAGGTGGTGGCAGGGCCAAGAGAGTTTAGTTACAAGGAGCTGAAATCTGCCACAGGAGGGTTTCATCCCAGTAGGATTCTTAGGCATGGAGCTTTTGGGACTGTTTACAAGGCGTTTTTTGTGTCTTCAGGCACCATTTCTGCGGTGAAAAGATCCATGCATTCCCATGAAGGTAAAACCGAATTCCTCTCTGAGTTGTCGACTATTGCTTGCTTGCGTCACAAGAATTGGTTCACCTTCAAGGCTGGTGCGTTGAGAAGGGTGAATTGCTTCTTGTTTACGATTTCATGCCTAATGGGAGCCTCAAAAAGGCGCTGTACCAAGAATCTGTACAATGTACCTTGTTAGATTGGTCTCAAAGACTGAATATTGCAGTTGGATTGGCGTCTGTTTTGGCATATCTGCATCAGGAATGTGAGCAGCAGGTCATCCACAGAGACATAAAGACTGGAAATGTGTTGCTTGATGGGAATTTAAATGCAAGGATCAGTGATTTCAGGCTGGCAAAGCTCATAGATCACGATAAAAGCCCTGTTTCCACACTGACAGCGGGAACAATGGGGTACCTTGCACCTGAGTATCTTCAATATGGAAAAGCAACCGAAAAGACTGATGCTTTTGGCTATGGTGTGGTGATCCTTGAAGTGGCGTGTGGAAGGAGGCCAATAGAAAAAGAGCCGGGAAGTGAGAAGGCGGTGAATTTGGTTGATTGGGTTTGGGGGATGCATTCCAAAGGGAGGATTATCGAGACCGCTGACAAGCGGCTGAATGGGGAGTTTAATGTGAAAGAAATGAGAAATCTGTTGCTTGTCGGCTTAGGTTGTGCTAACCCTGATAGCGCGGAGAGGCCTACGATGAGGAGGGTTCTGCAGATTCTGAGCAATGAGGCAGAAATTCAAGCCGTCCCAAGGGTGAAGCCGAGTTTGAGTTTCTCTAACAGATTGCCTTTGTCCCTTGATGACATTGTTTCGGAGCTCGATGTGTGAGATCATCATTCACTGAAAAACATATGCAGATTTGCAGAGTTTATAGCTAGTTGGATTCTTCGATTCTTTTAACTTTACCACTGCCTTTTTTTTTTGTTTTTTTATTTTATTTTTTATCCTGTAGTTTGAAGATTAGAGACTGTATAGTTCACTGGCCTGAGTTCAAAGCTTCTTGCTTGAATATTTCAACTGTAATGGAAGACTAATTTCTGACTGGTTTACAAGTTGAATGTTACACACGAATGATTTCTATACTATTCGATCTTATAGTTCTTAAACCGTTCTGTTTCTTGGGTAGTTTGATTTGATCTTTCCTAATGGTACGATACTGAGCAGTGGGTGATCTGTAGAGTAATTCTGTTTGCACCCGTAAATCTGTTCGACGCACACCCTCTCCCTCTCTCAGGCTAGAGTAGCCATGGCAAAGGGAGGAGAACTAGGAAGGCTTTTGAGAGAGAGGGGGAGAGAGAGAGAGAGAGAGAGAGTGTGTGTGTGTGTGTGTTTATTGGGTGCGAGAGTAAGAAGATGCAGAAAGTAGATATAGTGATGACATTCATAGAACTTGCAGATTCTGAACCTTTTTAGTCTCCCTCTACGCCAGAAGAGAATTTGAACTGTCTGCTTTGCAGAACTTTACAATTTTTCGGATCGCGTCGCTATCAGGAGAAATTCTCAAGTTTTGGTAGTGAAGTATTCAAGAATAGTACACTGCAATCCTTCTGTTTCATATTTGAGCGCATTTATACGCACAGATTTGAAGCTTTTCGCCATCGGGATAAATTCTCAAGTTCGATAGTGAAGTGTATTAAGGAGATAAAGTATGTGCAATCAGTTATGGAAGAACTCGAACTGCTGTACACATACAGAACTAAGAAAGTGGATGAGTTCTTATGAGCACAAGATTTTGAAATTTACCGGATCCTTGCGTCTAATTACTCGTGACATTATTCCAGTTTAACTCCCTTTTGATGTACAGATAAAAACTGTGTACTAGGCAAAGCCAAACCAGAACGTTCTGCAAGTAAGAACTCCGTGCCGGTCAAGTAGTCTGCCAGGCCCAGACTCAAGGCAGCAAGCTTGGAGAAATGCTGAACCAGAATATGCAACTTCATTCTTCTCCCCTGGAATCGAATTATGCACAACATCAGTGAATTCTCGATTGCCTTTTTGTGGTCTCCCTCTCCGATCCTGGTTTCGGATCTTTGTTTTGCAAACAGGCCTTTACTGTTCCATTTCACGTCGAGGATGAGCGAGGTGTATGGAACTTCAGAAGTATCCCTCACAACAAAGCAGATAACTGTATCAATCGCTAAGCGGTTTACAACATCAAGTTTCCGTAAGAACATTGCAATGTTGTAAAAGACCTGCAAATTAGCAGCAAACTGCCGTAGCTTATCAATTGACTGTGACAGAAATAAGTTAAACTAACCTTATATATTTGATCAAGAGCTGCAAAATAAGTCACAAATACATAAGATCTAATATTAAAAAAATGTAAAATTAAGCAAATATACAGAAAGAAAACGCTTGTGGTGAAAATATTTTTGGAACCAATTTTTTTGTAAAAATACAAGTGAATCCTCGAAAGTATTTCTTAAAAAAAAATCTAAAAGAAACATTTCAGTCATTTTTTAAAAGCACTTCAACTTCTTCTCATGAATATTACAAAATAATAATTTGTACAAAACTGACATATACTTGCTTCAACTTATTATCACTGCTCCAAGAATCATCTGCATAATATAAATACAAAATCCGTAAGGAAAATAGACTTTCGCGGTTTACATAGGAATTAAACAATAATGCGCACACACATACACAATATCCACAAATTAAGTGATTTTCCTATTAACTATATATATTTATTTATATATACACTTTTTTTTTTTAATTTTTATTTATTTATTTATATGTAACAATGTTCCTTAATTTTGTGAGAGAATATCTTACTTTGAGGTTAGACTGACGCACATCAGACGACGGTGCTGACAGATGGGAATGTAAGAGATGATGACAGAAGAAGAGAGAGTACACTCCCAACAACGGTAAAGACTCCCTTTGGCCAATGGCGGGTTGTGCTCTCTCTCTTCTGTCAACATATAAAAACTCTAACCTCATTCCCCATCGCATCTTTACACCCTTAATGCCACAAAACTCATGCATTCATCCCTGTAGTGCAAACCATCAATTAATAGGGTGAGATAATGCATTTGGGCTCATATAAAGCTGATAAATTGTAAACAATGCATATTAGCATGTCTACTACCCCTTACATACATACATGCATACATATCTGCGTATGTATAGACACTAGCGCAGTTGTAGAAGAGATCAGGCCCGACCCAACACCAAAATTATTTGGGTAGTATTTTATATATGTTTTCTTAAGATTATAAATTTATAAAATTTCCTTTGATGACAAAGAAATTCAGCTAGAAGTGGTGGTTTTGTCATTTGAAAATAATGATGAGGTCTTGGGTTCAAAACACTGTGCTTATTTACTTTCCAATTTTTACAAAAAAAAAAAACAAAAAAACAAAAAAAAATCGTAAGAATATAAATTTATAAAATTTTGTTAAATGATCAAAAGTTTAATTAGAAGCAATGATTTTTGTTGTTTAAAATTAACAAGATTTCTAAGTTTGAAATGCTATTTGCGTGTTTATTCTTTTCACTTTTTACAAATATTTGTTTGATTATTAATTTATTTTTAGTTACTAGTTAGTAATTATGTGAGTTGCTATTTTTAAATATTCGTTTGAATTCAAGTCTCATTTTCTACAAAGAGTAATACGTAGACCAAATTATTAGAGCAAATTCGCAAATCATATGATGTGTCATCAAAGGATTTAATTTAGTGTCGATTCATTACTTACACATATTAATTAAAGACTCGAAAACATCATTAATTTTTTTTAGTCTCATGTTGACAAGGTTAGTAAATAAGAAAAAACACCTCAATTTATACAAAAACACTTTAAAAGTTCAGATAGAAAACAAAACTCATCATCTATCTACGTGCAAGCTCAGAGTTTTTGGGCTTCCTTCTCTAGATACAAAATATATTAGTCTTTATGTGTTTCTAAATGATTAAGTTCGAACTACTTTTCTAAGTAAAATTTTATCGATGTTTTACGTGAGAAAATAAATAATTTTCTTATATGAAATTAGGGCACATGTTTTGGAATAGTCCCAGACCTTAAAAATCTTTGAACCAGCCTTGGAAGAGGTATTTAACGGCACAAACCCGATTTAGTACAACTTTGGGTCTCGGAGTCAGATTTTGGCCCATGAGTTGCGGGGGACAAAAAGTTGCGCTCAACCGGGTTTGTGCCGTTAAACACCTCTTCAACTTTGGGTCTCGGAGTCAGATTTTGGCCATCAGCTGCGGGGGACAAAAAGTTGCGCTCAACCGGGTTTCTGCCGTTAAACACCTCTTCTACTCACATACACACCATACTCTATATGGATATATGATTTTAAATACCATTAATTCATTATTATAAGCATAATTTTTGTTAACAGATAAATAATTAAACATAAGAACTTGCCTCTATATGTAGCCAAAAATTAACAATGATCTGGATTTTTTTTTTTTCATCAAGCCAATAAATATGTACTGATCATTATCAACATCCATCACCATGAAGGGGAAATTTGTGAGTGAAATCAATACTGAATTTATAAAATTTATATGTATATATAATGTGCTCAGATATGTACTTATATATACCTAATTTATGCATATGCATAAAAAATCAGATTAAAACAATATACCTATTTATCACAGGAACTACTTCATAAAAATAAATATAATTTACCATGACAGTTTAATCAAAACACAGGCTAAAAATTGAGAGAGAGAGAGAGAGAGAGAGTTTTACTCTTAGGGTTCTTCAACTTTTGCTTCAAGAAGCTGGTCATCAGATATGATTTTCACTGCAGAAACTACTAGTTTCTCTTCACTTTCCATGAAAGATAAAGAGGAAAGAAGAAATACAGAAGTAGATAGAAGCAGAGAACAAGATTGGGAGTGAGAGATACGTATAAGCTACAAATTCTATACCTCATTGTATCAGTTGTTGATGAATAGTGTTCATCTTATAGGGACCTGGCCCCTGCCTATAACCGGTGACTTGTTTTATGACCGGCTAGTGAGGGCAAACTAGTTTCGACACTTGTTTTTATTTTATGATTTAGATGTTGTATTAAACATCATGGGATCGTCACCGTTTAAAATATCGATATAAGTACAAATATCGATATGTAAATTTATGAAAATATAGGTAGATATATCGATATCGGTTTTTTTCACAGATATTAGGGAAATTTGCAATATGGTATTTCTCATTCAGATTTAGTTGAAATTAAAAAAAATTTCTCATAAAAATTCAAAAGTTTGAAATTTGAAATGAGTTCCGGCAAAAAATATGTAGTCTATTGGTAAAAATTGTAGATATTTATTGATTTTCTATATCCTGCCGATATAGGATGAAGTTGCATTTTACCCCTTATGTATCGATTCTTAATTTTTCAGATATTTCAATGAAAATATCGATGATTTCGTAAATATTTTAAATACAAGGTAGTATATAGGATTTCAAATCTATTCAAACCCAAGCGTTACTATTATCCGAAATTAAACTTACGTTTTAATTAAAAACAGGCTGCCTAATTAACATAACGGGATAAGAAAGAACACCTTTTTTTTTCTCGTGTATGCAAGCTTACCCGTTTGAACAAATTTGGAGTTGGAACTTGGGAGATTCCTTTCAATCGTGATGAAACTTTTCACTGTCAAAGGACTCAAAGTCGTTAATGGCACCAATAAAATTTAAAATGGTATTTAATTAAGGAGAAAATGACGTTGATAAAGAATAATAAGACCCGTGGTGTAAGCAACGTCATAAATGGGTAACCAAAAATGGTGGGGGTGGATGTTGACCGGCTATTTCAGGTCAGCCGGATCAAAGAAAGGGTCTTTGTTTCTCTCTCACCTCACCTGACATCACCCGTGATAACCGATAAACCTGTTGCTTTCGTGACTGTGGAGAATATCGTGACGGTTGAGTGGTGACACGTGGAGGACATGCACGGGTTGTAGGCTGGTGATCTGGCATATGAACAGCGACGACCTTTCTCTCACGAATTGTGCGTACTTTATAATTTGCACTTTGAAATTTTCATTTTACATATCAAATTTTATATTTAAAAAAAAAATACATTCGTCAAAAGTGCACGATAAAATTTTAAAATACAAACAACAGTGAGCTAATTATTCGATCGGTGCCATGCCAATCTATATGGTTTAGTGAAAGTCTTCGTAATACATTGTTAATAGTATACCAAATCAAATCAATCAAATTTTCATTTACAATTCAAACATGTTACTCTTACCACATTTGTACTATCTTTATACTAAAAAAGGGATTTGTATATGTAGATTGACTCTACTTTTATTAAAAAAGTGGTACGAATATAATATGAAAATATAGTTAAGTGTAGCATTAGACTACTTTTGAGTTCGTGGTACTGATTTTAATCTTCTACTATAATACACCTAAACTTGTTACTTCATCATGTTATTTATCTTTATTCAAATGAAAAATATTAGGTTCAAATCTCGTAAATGACTATATTTCCCAAGTAATTTACTTTCCCACCCACCCAGATAGTTTAAATATCATCGTTGTAATGTCATTGTCCACCCTCTAATTCAGACTGAGCAGTATTAGGGAGGTCCATTTAATGGGCTCATCAGCCGTGACAAGGAACTTAAAAGATTAATAAACTCTGAGCATCTTTGATTGGTCAGTACTCACTAGGTCTTATTCTTGTAGCTATAACTAAAGAGATTTTTCAACGTGTCCAAAACACGAGACTATACATTACATGACATTGTACAAATAAAAGGACACTTGAAAAACTCAAAATAAAACTTTTATCTATGTATATAATGACATATAATATACTACTCGTCTTCTGCATATATTGCAAAATTTCTCAACGCATGTGAAAATAAATGTTTTCCTTTTAAGCCACACGTAAAATAAATAGTTCCCAAAAAATTTCAAAAACCAAGAGGAAGCCTGCAATATTGCTATTAGACAGCTCCCCTCATCGTAGGGTCGTGGGGGAGAATCGATGAATGGATCACAACCGTTGGATCCATTGATTGAAATGTGGGGCCTTCTGCCATGAGACACGTGTTCATGCCCTAGAGATGCAAGTGAAGTTCATGTGCCGATACAGAAGAAAAATCAAAAGGCATTCTGAAAATAATTCAGATATTTTGATGCCTGAGGGCGACCGGAGACATATATCCATTGACGTCATACATTAAAAAAGTGAACTAACCGTAGTTTACACTGTGAATCAGCTTGATCATAATCTTGAGCAGTGTATAATTTCTAATTAACCTTATTCTTATTAATAAAAAAAATGAATAATCATAATTTACCATCAATTATCCTCTATTTTTGAAAATATATCTTAATATATATATATATATATTTTTTTTTTTTTATTATACGTGGTTGATTGATTAATTGGTGGCAAAAAAAGTATCTCCATTGATGCACAGCCTGAGGAAAAAATTTACAAAAAAAAAACTAAATACTACTAACTTGCCAAAGCCTTGATACAATGGATTCAAGGTAAATGAGATTTGGAAATAACTGGCAATAAATCAGATCAATAATTCATACAAGTATCGGCAAAAAAAAAAAAAAAAAAGCCATTTTAGTACAGATAATTACATTTCTTTTCTTCCTAATCTCACGTTCCTAACAGTATAACAAAATCTCAGTGAAGTACAGAACCTACAGATTGCTTCAGGCCAATGTCACAATAAGTAGAAACTGTATGAATTAGTTTGAATCACTAAGTCAGCAAAACCTCCAATCCGGGTACTAATTAGTTCTGATTCGATCGCCTTCAGAAGTAATTAAAGTGTCTATGATCTTATAATGTGAGAGTCGCCCACGCAACGGATCATCTTGCGCATTATCTGTGTTACTTCTCAGTTTTTCGGACTTCGAAGCAGGATTCACATCACTTTTCTCATCGAAGATCTCTCGTTTTAGGGTCTCTGATGCTTCCGTAGATTCAACCAATTTAGTTTTCCATTTAATACCAACTGCCTCCGCCTGATCTGCAAACAAGACTTTTGCGCTAGCTGAACTGCAGATTTCTTTGTAAGTTTCATAATTAGCAGCTCGGGTGCTTCCACCTTCCAAAAGTCCCGTGAGGGGATGCAAAACCGAGACTGGACCATCACTTCTCTCTAATGTTTCCTTCAACGCCAGAAATTCAGAGACAAATTTTTCCTTGCTAAACTGAATGAATACTGCAGTTTCATCCAAGTGGTAGACAGACGTGACAGAGGTTGGGCCAAAGACTTTTGTGATGCACTCCCTTATATCTCGTGCCTTGAGTTTTGATGGGAATCCCCAGATTAAAGCAATGTTCTCAAACATAATCTGCGCGTACCTCTTTTTGTGATTATTATACCCCGAAGACATTGCTTTCTTCTTACCGGTGGTTAAATCAATAATGTCTCCATTACTCCAACTGAGGTATAAAAGGTTGATCTGCTTCTGGAGCTTCTCAATGTGGGGAAACTTTTCAGATGACAAACAAGCCTGAAAATCAATCCCGAGATGACTGCATGTCTGAGCAAAGACACAGCCTGTCATAAAAGCATCATATCCTGCTTCATGTTTGGCTCCAGAATTCCAGTTGGAGGACCTGCAAATAGATAATCGTGATATGAAAGACTTATTCCTTTGCTTTTCCTTTCATTTGTATATTAAACAGGCATTCTTAGTTACATTACTAAAACTATCTTTCTCCATATGTAATGGTTATTCTTTTAACCAATATGTAATGGTTATTCTATGAGAGAGAGCCACGTGGCATGCACAAGTATATACATCTCGTAAAGGAAGTAGAAATAGAAACAAATTGACAAACTTATACGAACTTGTTATCTGACAGATTTCCAAAGTTGGTTGCATCTAAAGAATGTAATGTGTAATTAACCCCGGTCAAAAAAATATCATGCCAGCCTAGTCGTTTTCAGACAGATCTCTAAGCGCCTTACGCCATTATTGAAAGTTAATAAAAATGTTCTCCTTCATCTGTCGGTTTCAACTCTATATCTTTTTCCATTCAAACTGTGACAATGGAAACCATTGAGACCAACTAAATGAATTGAGCATGACCGAGATATCATTATGGACAGAGAATGGAAAAAGCAAACCTCAAATCATCCACCTGAACTTCAACTTTGACACACAATTGGACTTCTGGATCAGTGCTTTTTTTCCCAAGAGCAATTTCTGGACATAACAAAGCAAATGCTGACGAAAGTGATGTTCTAGACTTCTTCATCCGTTGTTGGAGCACATTATCTGTATTCAACAGTACTTTGGTGTCAATGATGTGTGGAAAATACTTGTTAACAGCAGAGACAAATTCTTCAGCAGTCGAAGGTAGAGGTCCCAAGAATTTGTTGTATATATGGGCAAGATCTGTATGACAACAAGAAGACATCTTAGTAATATATAAAATCAAATTGACCTTTTTATGAAAGTAACATCAATACTCGTACCAAGAAAGCAATTGTGACCAACAATCAACTTTTGTTCTGAGGAAAGAAGGTCAATAACATGACGAAACCCAACTGCAGCTTGAACTTTCACCTCTGCTTCCCTACGATGTTTGTCCTTAACCTCTTTCTGCAAAAGATTGCATACAGAAAACTTTAATTCCTCCTGTAGATGATCATTACATAATAACAAATACACTGACCTTCCTTTGGTGATAATTTCTGTTCTCCCTAATGCACCTACAGCATATGCAAAATTTATGCCCTGATAGTAATTATCATACACACTGCCGTTTGTTTATTAACGAGTGATTAACAGTGTTCAGACATTGTAGTTAAGACTTAGAAGAGAAGAGAAAGAAGAGTTTCAATATCTCTAATGTTTGTTTCAATGGCTATGAAAGAAATCCAGAGAAAACTTGTTGATTGACTTATTGGAATACGAAAAAGTAAAAACAACTCCAGGCCCAAAC